AATGTTTGTATCGGAATTACCAATCATACTATTGAGAAATGTTTCATTTTTTAGGGTCAATCCCCTCCCCCCCCCCCTAAAATCATCACTAAATCGGGAAAGTAGCACATGTGCCAACATTTTTCCATGGTCATCTCGTATTCAATCGAATAAAACAAATACAAGGCAAAGGATGACTTTCTTTACCTCATCATCGTTGATGATTCGGCATGTGATACGGAAGACGCCCTAGTTTTGCACAGGAAGTATAGTTTTTAGTGTCCTATTTTCACGTTCATAATTAAGTTTATATTTTTATCCTATAATTGCAATGGTTCTTAAATATGAGATTCAAAGGAAAATCTCGATGCATGTGTGGAAAGATAAACACCAATAAGATACCTAGTCAGGCCTCTCGACTAGTTCATTGATTGTCCATGGTCTATTTTCCTAACAATGAGTATTGTTAACATAATAATGATAATGCCAATAATCAAAACAGTAACAATGGTGTTGGGTAGGCCCAACTATGAAATATTGCGAGATACGTCGTCAATATGTTATTGGTATTTTTGCATAAAGCTTTACCGTTTACTTACATCCTTAGACCATGAGAATATCATAAACTCGGATGTCGAATGGATACTTTGGCATTACCAACTGTGGGTATACCAAAAAAATTGTTGTGGTGTTCGATATGGCAGGACTGGGATTTGCTCCTCCGGCGATGGAAGGGTACACTCTGTGCCCACTCGATATTACCATGTCCATCATTGCTTGGCCAAGCATAGTGGCTAAGCCATTAGTCATGGGGACACCAATGCGGTAACAAGGAAAGAGTACAAACTGGTAACGAGGATAACTAGGTATTGTGATCAAAGTGTTGATTACGAGGATACTGTAAAGACTCGCCTTGGGTTTTGTAAAGTATCGTGAAGCAAAGTGAATTGTATGTGACAACAAAAGGTTCGCTCGATAAAGATCTTTGTTGATATGCCAGAATTATCATAGGTGTCCAAATCATGCTAATAATTATTGACCAAAAGGTGTTTCGGGCATGTCCGCATATTATCGAACCTGTTGGGTGACACACTTAACGACTAGTGGTATGTAAGAGAGCAGGAGATAATGGAAAAATGAGAGGATGGGTCCAAAAGTGTTCCGGGAGGTCCTAAAAGTGTTACGATGATGTCGTGACTATACCGAAAGTGGTCGGTAATGTACCGAAAGGCCGTGGAAGCCACCGAAAGATCCTGGAACTTCTCAGGACAATCTAGAAGGGTCCTAGTCGGCTGCTTACTGGGCTAGGGGCATATCCCACATGGGTCTAATTGGGCCAGCCACAAAGGGTTTTTTTTGGGGGGGGGGGAGGTAACCGGAGAAGAGTCCTTGGAGGACTGCACCTTCTGGTTCATCCGAACCCCAAGGGAGGGTTTTCCTCCCCCCCCCCTCCCCCGACAAAAAAATGGGTTA